ATTACCACCCCCAGGAAAATCTCAATACCACAGATACACTGTTAGGTCCTACATGCATATCTGGGCTTTATATATAAAAACAGTAAGATATTTTTGTCTTCCTAAGAACTAATTTTCACCTCCTTGGGGGTAATATAGCCTATGTTGAGAATGTGTGTTCTAGTCCTGATTAAAGTTTTAATTAATTCTTAGATTCAACTGACTTAAACCATGAGTTAAAGCAAATCGCTAGTGGTTGATAAATTTATTTGGAGGTGGGGGGGTCTTTGGAGGTGATTAAGTTATGAGGGCGGGGCCTTACAAATGGGATTAGTGCCCTTAAAAGAGGCCCCAGAAAGACCCCTTGCCCCTTCTGCCATGGGAGGTTGCAGTAAGAAGACCAGCTGTGAGCGAGCCGGCCCTCGCCAGACACCAAATCTACTGATGCCTTCATTTTGCACTTCCCAGTCTCCAGAACTGTGAGAAATAAATTTCTGTTGTTTATAAGCCACCCAGTCTATGCTACTCTGTTATAGCAGCCTGAATAGACTAAGACAACTATGAACATCTATGACCAGCGATTATCTTTGGGTCATCTTTTGCTTTTGTATTTTAAATTCTTATGGCTCAGCTGGGCACGGTGGCTCACGCCTGTAGTCCTAGCTAATCAGGAGACTGAGGCGGGAGGATTGCTTGAGGCCAGGAGTTCGAGGTTACAGTGAGCTATGATCACACCACTGCCATTGCCCTCCAGCCTGAGTGACAGAGTGAGATCCCATTTCTAAAAAAAAAAAAAAATTCTTATGGCTCTTCCTATTTTGGGAAGCCTGCCCTGCCAAGCTGCCCAATCTAAATCCACACTACTGTCGATGTACCTTGACAGTTACCATTTCTCTTCTTCAATATGGTTTGGAAACCAGATGAGCTGTAGGAATGGGACAGAAGCCGAGTGAAGGTCTAGCAAGCTCCAGAGGATGGTGCATGAGCTTAGTGCTTTGCCTGATTCAGTCAATCAAGTTCAATGATCATCAATCTCAGGCCGATTATGTGCCAGATACGGTTCTAGGCACTGGGGATACAACAGTAGCTTAACCCATTAACTGCCATGAGAGTTGTATTTAATTCACTCCAGTTTTGACCCTGGGGCCACGTGAAACATAAAATAAAATCTTACTTGTTGATATTCTTATTGTTATAATTAATATTGACAATTTAATTCTAAAACTGAGGATTAAGTGAACAGAAGCCAATAAATTTCGTTTGTCTATTTATGCTTACCTTTAAATTACATTCGAAGTTTTTATTCTATTTTTGTAATAAAACACTGTGGCCCCAAGGAAAATTTTCTGGGTTTTTTTGTGTGGCAACGTGTTAAAAAAAAAAAAAAAGTAATGTCTCTCCCCTCCAGGGGATCAGAAATGTCCGGAGACATTTAAGAGTTCTGATAACATGGCAGCCGCAATGCCAGGCAGCGAGTCACACTACCGCTGGTTAGTCGAAGGATGGAAGATGTTTGCCTTCCAACAGAAAGGGCTCTACTCTTCAGTTTCATTTTTGTTTGTCGTTGACTTGAACAAAGATTAGGAGTTAACTGTGAACGTGTCCAGGAAGTGTTTGGGGAATCTACAAATTCAGTGATTTGGTGTTCTTAGTTACTACACAGGAAAATACCTCCTCAGGTACAGCTTGTCCTCCCTTCCACAAAATGAATTATTACTATTCAGTATTTGCATAGTTTTAAAGATTTTCCCTGTTTAAAGAAGGTGGTGGTTCAGGTGCGGTGACTCACGCCTGTAATCTTAGCACTTTGGGAGGCTGACGCGGGGAAGATTGGTTGAGGCTAGGAGTTCGAGACCAGCCTGAGCAAGACCCCATCTCTACTAAAAACAGAAAAAATTAGCAGGGTATGGTGGCCCTCGCCTCTAGTCCCAGCCTCTCAGGAGGCTGAGGCAGAAGGATCGCTTGAGCCCAGGAGTTTGAGGTTGCAGTGAGATATGATGATGCCTCTGTACTCCGGCCTGGGCGACACTGCGAGACCCTGTCTCTGTCTCAATAAAAAAACAAAAACAAAAAAACTTCAGGGAAGAGGGAGTTACCGAGCAGAAACAAAAGGAATTTTTAATCCAAAATCCTAAGGTCTCTATGGGACTGGCTCCACCCTCCCTCCACCTAGGCTAGAGTGCAGTGGCATGATCATAGCTCACTGCAGCCTCGAACTCCTGTGTTGCTGGGACTACAGGCATGCACCACCACCACACTCAGCTAATTTTTTTTTTCTGTTTTTTTTGTAGAGACAGGGTCTCCATGTGTTGCTCAGGCTGGTCTTGAATTCTTGGCCTCAATTGATCCTCCCGCCTCAACCGCCCAAAGTGCCGAGATTACAGGTGTGAGCCACTGCGCCTGGTGGCCGGCCAGTTCTAGTCCTTGAACACACCAAGCACAATCCCATTCAAAGGCTTTGTGCGTCTTATTGAACCTGCTGCCAAGAAAACCCACCCCATATCGTGCATGGCCCTCCACTTTACTCAGGACCTGCGCAGGCATCACCTCTGCGGAGAGGACTTCCCTTGCTACCCCCACACCCATCTCACCCCATTCTATTTTTCTTCATAGCATTTAACACTGAGTGGTGTGTTACCTGTATGTGTACAGTCTGCCTTCCCCATTTCAATGTAAATGCCACAAGGGCAGGGACTTCTTTTGTTCACCACTCTACTCCCAGCCCCTAAAAGTGGCCTGTACACAAGGCACTTGTAATTCAAATGACTTTGCAGTCTTACTATGGTTTAAAATTAGTTTACCACTCACTTTTTTTCCTTGAGCTATCATCTATAAATAAGGCTTCCATATGTAACACATTTGACATTCAAGTGTTCTCATGGAAGAGCTTCACTTATTTTGAGGTGTTCGTGTGTTTTGAGTGTGTCTGGAAAGCAGATTAGAAGTGTGGAAATTCAGATTCATTAAATCCGTATTCTTCTCATCCAGGAAAGAATAGGAATACAGCACTAGTCTCAATGTGTGCAGAATAACCACTAAGACATCTTTCTCAGTTGTTTCTTCTTCTGGCCAATCGCAGCCTGAAGTTCCCTAGGCCATTAGTCCTGGACTACCCCTTAGGCTTCACCAGTTCTTTCCTTCTGCTTCCATCCAGACCAGGATACCCACGCTGGCCTTTTCCAGCACTTAACTGGTCTCTTGCAATAGGGAGCTGGAGCCCAGTGAGGCCTATTTGACTAGTTTGCACCATTCCGTGCCGTCCGCCCCCCCCAGCTTTAAAATAAGCCCCAGACATTCTATTTCCTCATCTACAGAACTAACAAGGACAGCGTGTTTCTACTATAATTTTTAAAAACCCATGCTTTTCTTCTGAAGCTTTTGTTCTGTAGCAATAGAAACGGTAGCTTTCAGTAAGCGCAAAGTCTAGAGAAAGGGAAATTTAAAAATAATCTTATTTTCCAGTTGACACCTATAAATACAAACAGTACAAGGGCTCTGATAATGTAGTATGTATTATATACGTATATATACACACATACATACTTATTTAAAATGTCTTTAAATAAATACATTGGATTGAGAGGGAAAAAACTTAGCTTTCATGTAACTCCTTTAATTAGGTCAAGAAGGTTTCATGTTATCTGAGGATAAGTGAATGGTAGGACTTTTTAAAATTCCCCAGTTTGTTAGAGGTCAAGAATACTGAAACTGAAACCCAATTAAAGATTTAAGTAACTGCAGAAAAATAATCCTGGAAGCACATTGTCAAACTATTTTGAAAGCCAAGAATGTGTAAAGATGGAACAAAAGATTTAGAGACATCCCAACAAAAGCCAGGAGGACATACACAGAGACAGAAAGTCTGGTAACACACAATGAAGAAGTGTGTGTTGTTTTCTATTTTAAGTATGTAGCCTGGTTTTAATCATTTTCCAGAAATATTTCCAAATTAGGAACGGGAAAAAAATATAAAAATATATTAACAAGATTAAACTTTTAACTTTATTCTGTCTGAGATCAGCCCTCACTTAGCAGCTCAGATACTTATGGGCTCTCAGACCTAAGACTGTGCCATAAATCCTATATATACAGACTTGGTCATGTGTCTCTACCTCCAAACCCCAACATTTGCTTTTATGTAACAGGGAACTTTCTGCCTTTTTCATTGATGCCAACTTGAAAAACAGCCCAGACACACCTACGATGACCTTTAAACCTTCCTTTTCTGATGAAAAATAAGAAACATACAGATCTATTAGTTTACCGAAACTTTTCAAGGATTTATAGGGGTCATGTCGATTAAAGTCATGGTAGAGATACCATTAAGAAGAGAAACTCCGGTCAAGTTTTCAGTTAGGCACCAAGCAGACTGTTTCAAAGACAGTCCCCTGATCGGAAGGGCTATACTCTCGCACAGCCCAAGATCCACATATATTAATTACATGTGAAGAGAGACCACCAGTACCCAGATGACAAAACAACTTGAGAATTCAGACATGAAGATGAAAATGAAAGTCAAAACAGACATTATATTGGACTTAAATCAAAGAATAACCCTACAATATCTCTGCTAGAGTGTTTTAGAGATGCACAGGTTATAAAACAGATTTGACTCCTAAATGCTACCAGCAGGGGCTATGGCTATCATGGGCTAACTAACCCAAGGTAAAGGCTGGAGAAAAGGAAAACAGGAGGAGGACGATGAGTGAGTGAGTAAGAATCCAAGGAAGACAGCACAGGGGGTGGAGAGGAAAGACAGGCATGCACTGGGGAGCAGGGACAAACCGCTAAGAATCATAAGTGACATCAGCTGCTGGTTTCTAGATCTACTCACTGAAGTCCATCTGGGAAGGTCTGGTTTAATGAGGATGAAAAACCATTATTCTAAAAAAGAAAAATGCACAGTAAATTTTATTTCTGTATTTATCAAATAACTTATACACCAATCAGACCCTTAACATGTAAAAAGTAAATCTCTATTTGTAAAGTTAAATATATGAAAATACAAAAGCCAGACTGAATTATCAAAAAAGAAAACTGTTTATTTTTAGCACTAAGTACAATTAATTTCCCTGATTATAACCCATAATCAGTGTCACCTAAAATACAGGATGGTCTGTACAGAACTGAACAATCCCAGTATCTCTCTATATATTAGGACCACTCAGAAAAAGCAGAGCTGAGCTTGTTAAATTATCATCTGTTTTAGAAACTCTTACCATTTGAAGGAAATAAGAGGAAGATTTAGGTAGCAGAATACTTAAATAATAACTTAAAAAGTTAAGAGCTTGTAGTGATAAAATAATCTTGTGCACTGTTTTCAGGAATTTTAGGCAAATGGCCTTTTTGCAGATCCCAAATCTAGGAAAAGACAACCGATCATTGCAACACTCGGACTCAGTTCACTTGCCATATGGTTGGTCATGGTGCATTTCTGGTGTGTAAGTCAACAGAACAATCATGACCCAGAGGTGAAGCAAAGCCTAAAGAAAGAAAAAACAATTTATGGATTAGCCAATAAATCAATCTGTACCAAAGGCCCACTGTGTAGTGAACTGAGGGCAGGAACTTTGTCTTATTTGTCTCTGTGTCCCCTAAGGCAGTGGTCCCCAACCTTTTTGGCATTGGTTTCATGGAAGACAATTTTTCCATGGTGGGTGGGGGGATGTGGAGCTCAGGCAGTGATGCAAGTGATGGGGAGCGGCTGTAAATACAGATGAAGCTTTGCTCCCCTGCCCGTGGCTCACCTCCAGCTGTGCGGTCCTGTTCCTAAGTTTCATGGAAGACCATTTTTCCATGGGGTGAGGGCGGTGGCAGGGAGGGGGACAGCAGAGCTCTGCGGCCCAGTCTCTAACAAGCCACAGACTGGTACAGGTCCATGGCCCAGGGTTTGGGGACCACAGCCGTAAGGGATACACTGTGTCTGAAACATGGTAGGGGCTAAGGACTGGATAAATAATGAGGGAATGAATGAACAATTAAATGAGCTAAGTGCAATGGAGGGTAACAAAGAGTTGCTATAGCTACAGAATTCAGTTGAGAGGATTAAAGTCTTGAACTCACAACATGCACATGTACACACAAATAACCGTTCAGGTGATCATAATGGAGAGTGGATGGCACAATTGAACCTGCTAGATAAACATGAAGTTGCCTGGAAAGACTTAGAACAGAGTCATGGTTGGTGTTTTGAAAGAGAATTTAGCCAAGGTTTGGTGAAGAAGAGATGGGATAATGTTCTTGACATGAATAATGTGTCAGGGTTCGGAGGTTGACTTTAGGGTCCAGTATATGATCCACAGTGATACATTTCCACTAATTCCCTCATGGTATACTGAAATGATATGAGATCACATCACTAAGTGCCTTACCACTTTGTAGTGTGCAAAATATCACATATCACGTGACAGATGGTGTCTGTGTTACTCATAATCACAAACCACACCTGGGAAATCACCCCTCTGCTGCTATTCCTTTTTTATGTTCTCCCCATCCTTCCCTTCTTAAAAACTTTTTATTTAAAGGAGTAACTCTTCCCTCTAGTGGATCACAGAGAAATTTCTTTTTCAGTAGGCTTTTATTTCTTTTTAAGAAAGCAGCCCCTCTTAAGTCAATCTAGCTACCCTTAGACATACCCACTCAGAATAGCTAATGAGCTTTTCAGGCACACAGGACACATGAAATGGCATCCCAAACTATTGTAACCATTTTATTAGAGCTAAGAAATCTGGAACAAAGTAAATCAGCCTTGAGATCCTTTCAGAAAATAAAGCAAAACACATGAAAATAATTAAAGCAGCTTTATAATATCAAGATAAAAATAAAATCAATGGTACTATACTGTATTTTTATCATTAGAGGGGCTTAAAAATGGACGTAACTATTAAACTACACTAAAGGTAATTTTATTTGTAGTTAAAGCCTTTGAGTAATTTATATTCTACACATAATGAATTGTCAAAAGTTATAACTTACTTTAAGAAAAAAATCTTAATTACTAAAAATGAGTTCTACTCTTTCAAAATTGATTGCTAAAATATCAGTAAGATCTGCAGTGGAAAAAAACTAGTTAAAAATCAAGTGCAGCATTTATTTTTTCAAACATGTTTACTTACCATATATATAATTACAAAAACTCGTGCTACAGGGTATCTTCGAAGAAAAATTCCCAGACGGATGCTGCGCAAGGAGGGTGGGGGAGAGAAGAGAGTTACACTCAAAATGAATCTTCCTGGGGAACAGCTAGTGGTATTTTTTAAAATTTCACTCACTTAAATTATTTATGTGGCTACCATAGAAGAATGATTTTTATAGTAGACTGTTAAATGATTACTTGAGAAATAACTACACAGAAATGTCCTAATAGTAAACAAATACTTTTATCATTATTTGGGGCTTGGTTTAGCACACAGTATTTCCCCTAATTCTATGGCCACAATTGTAGGAGGCAAACTCTAAGTCATTTTTCTTTTAGGAACCAAAGAAGTTACACAAGATGAGGTAGGTGTCAACCATGTGAATGGGGAAAAAAGAGTCTGGTTGGCACTAACCTGCAAATAGCTCATCTGGGAGCTTTTGCATAGATACATGCTTCTAAAAGGCACAAGGCTATAGAACCTTAAGTAAACACCTGAGAAAGTAAGTATGGAAGCAATATGATGTCTAGACCTTATTACTCATACCTCTTTGCAACATTTTTTCCCTATCAAGATGGATACATGTACAGGCAAATATACCTTTTTGCTTCTTTCATTGCCACTAGTACAACGCCTTGCATGTAGCTTCTCTAAAAATTATGTAGTTGAATAAATGAATAGTTGAAACAGAGGTGCTTAATTTGGAGATA